GTGTCATGTATAGTGATTCATATTAATATTGAAAATATTGTAACTTACCATGCAAAAAGAAATGGCACAACGAAGTGGCCTCGTTTCGGAGCTTAGAGCTTTGCTACTTTCCAAATACATTTTATCTCATCTTATTGAATCTGTCTCGTTCACGAATCGAATTGAAATTGCTAATTTTAGCTTTCTCTAATTGTATTTTATAGTTTGAAGACTTCGATATAATATTCGTTAAACACCCTCGAATTATTTCTGCTTGATTGAAAACATCTTGCCAGGGATGTATTACTATAAAGGTTAGATCAAGAATAAAATCTAGAGCAAAATGTACAAAATGTTCAAACAAGATGAGAACGTGCGAACGAAGGATTCGCGCGAGTTAAAATTAGCCGGATTTCCTTGAACACATAAATTTCATTCAATGATCCGTACTAAAGCGCCCAACCAAGAATTCGATCGCGATTGTTCCAACAAAGTATCCATTGGACCCGATCCGAAGTATTCGTAACGACGTACCTACAACGACGAAAAGTTCGATCGCGAAAGTTATTCCAATAATTTCACGGAGAAATACAAGCTATGGTCGCACCATAAAGATAAATCTTGCAACACTGTAGATTGCCTTTAAACGCGATAAAATCCATCAATTTTCGAGCCAATAACCCGCACGCTCGTTATAACCCACGCGAAACTGAAGCACCGCCGCACGATACGTTCGGTTGTTGACCGTTGCACGTCGATGAACGATCGACGAGCAACGTACAGCCGCGAGTCACATCTCCGTGCGTGGCTTCCGGTCATCCTCGTTGCTTCCTTCCATCGTTAATGACTTCGGTCCCCGTGGCGTCCGCGCTCAGGTGGATCGCGTACGATCAGCCCTATGGGGACCGTGCCGATCTCGACGCACATGCGTCGATGATGGTCCAGCTTTCGCATCGTCGCTGACAGGTCAGACAGGAAGCGATTTCACGCTCGAATTCATCGGCATCTAACCAGGCTCTACTCACGTTTCCTTTCGGAAAGTTCGATTGTGAAACGAGCATATTTTTAATATGGATATATATGAATATATGATATTTATTATACAACACACGTGTTAGATGGTATATTGTAGTGTATTATATTGGTGAATCTACTGTGTTGTTATCGATTATAATAATTGTAATTATTGTAGTTGTATTATAATATAATATATAATAATGCAGTATGTTATTTATATGTTGTAATTTTATTATGTTGTTATGTTATATTCATTTTATTATATTCATCTGATTTCTTCATTCTAAGAAAAATATCAAACAAACAATACAAAATTCGGAGAAGTAAATGGATAAATGAAATCAATACAAATTTTATTTGTAGACGCACACTTCAGGACAAAAAGAGGATAACAGGTTAGATGGTATATTGTAGTGTATTATATTGGTGAATCTACTGTATTATTATTGATTATAATAATTGTAATTATTGTAGTTGTGGGTATAGAAATATAATAACTAATATAATTTACCAGTATCATATAACATCACAATTATAATATAATGTATAATAATACAGTATGTTATTTATATGTTGTAATTTTATTATGTTGCTATGTTATATTCATTTTATTATATTCATCTGATTTCTTCATTTCTAAGAAAAATATCAAACAAACAATACAAAATTCGGAGAAGTAAATGGATAAATGAAATCAATACAAATTTTATTTGTAGACGCACACTTTAGGACACTCTATAATATTTTCTTATGTTACATATCGTAAACTAGAGAGAATAGATTCTTGGAACTCAGTACTCTTAGGATATCCGCAGGCGTGTAGTATGTTGAATGTTATTATCGAGACGATTATCGAGAATTTCCCTAAGACGAATATGAAAATGTAAATATTGGCACGAGGCAGACAAAATCGAACAAATCTGAATGTCCTTAGTCGTACGGAAGCTATCGGAAGCGTAACATTCGTATGAAATATTCGTATCGATCAAATGCGTAATAAGTGACAAGTGAATAAATTTATACATTTGTGTCGCCGGAGGAAATGAAGATCCAGCGATTAATAATTATTGAAATTAAACGAAGAACATTATGTGACAAAAATAGCCAAAGTTTACTAGAAGATGTCGATAATTATGGAAAAAGAAACAAATCGTGGACAACCGCAGTGTCTAACATGCTCATACTGGATAAATGTGCTATAATACGCGTAGCATCGAATTGCGACAAATGTTAGGAACGTTCGACGTCTTTTAAAGAATTGTGAACATCCGAAACGACGACGAAAATTGCAACAGAAAAACCCATGGTTAAACTAAGAGCGCAAGCTGTGTCAAAGAAACGTGTTTGTATAAATAAAAAATGGCAAAGAATCATATTCATCGATGAAAAGAGGTTCAATTTAAACGAACCTGATGGCCTCCACTATTGTTACCATGATTTACGAAAGGAGCAACAATTTCTGAGTCGTCGAACTGCGTGTTGCAGCGATATAATGATTGGGGGATGTATTGGTAAGATGGAAATAAAATTTGTTACCATTTTACGAATTTATATTAAATAGTGAATAGTTTATTGACGAACAAATTAACACGTACGAAACACGAATTGCCGGAAATAAGTACATTTTTCAACGTGATAATCTCTTTATTTTAATTAAAACGTAAAAAAGGTTGGAGCAGAATTAACTATATTCCTAGGCTATGTCTTTCTTTATTTATATATTAAAAAAAAAACAACCGATTTTTACAAAAAGTAACTTTATAAGAATGAAACGTTTGTCGACGATTCCTTTTTAGAATCGTTTATTAAATCGAACCTGAAAGAATGATTTAAAGAAATAATATACGATTTATGAAGTGACGATTCAAAGAAGAAATGGCCAACAAACGTCTTATGAACTAAATCCGCCGTTTTTTCGTCGACTCGTCTAAGGCTTTCGCTGGAATCAACTCGATATCTCAGCCTTCTTCTTTTCTCAGAAAAAAAAAAAAAAACTCTCCCCCTAAACGTTGGGAGAAACGAGCGATTTTCAAGGGGAATAAAATTTCCAAATGATTGTTTTCGCGTGTCGTTTACGAATTCAGCGAGAACGCCGGTTTCTCGGAAACGTTCGGAGCAGGTTCCTGAATATCCGCGGAATATTATGACAGTGTTTACGCACGTTTAAAAACCATGCGTCTTTTTCTCTCTTCCCTCGGTGGACTTGGTACCTGGAATCGGTGTTTAGTCTGTCTCTTCAAAGGGATATATGTTTCAATCCGAATGAGTTAATAATAAACGCGCGGATTCGCGCCGCGGGACAGAAACGGAAGAGGGTGGTCGACGATTCCGGTGGCAGCGATCGGTTACATGTTTTCTAACTTTCATTCGATTCTGCAATCGTTTGCTTCGGATAACGATCGATTTGCATCGTAGATTTTTTGCCGAGGTAGAATTTTAAACTTGCAATCTTAACTTGTACTTTGACGATGGAATTTTAAATTCAGCAGTAACGTTTATACTTTGAGAAGAATAGAATTCCGAATTCGACGTTTATGTTTTTTAGTCGTTTTGGAATTGTTATATTTGATCATGAATTAAATTAAATTCAATTGTAACATTAGGTACTGCATTGTCAAATCTCATTGTAATAATTTGTGCTTTAATAATGGAATTGATTGTGGAGTACATTATTTATAAAATAATAGAATTTATATATTTCATATATTATATTGCATTGTTAAATTTTATTATATAATAACTTGGGTTTTTAAATGATAGAATTTGTCGAAGAGTGTATGATTTATAAAATAGTATATTTTTTAGTATTAGAATTTTAAATTTAGGTATTTCGTATTTTTATTTTTTTAGTATGATTATAATATAACTGTAGTATACCTATCTTTTACACTTTATCTACATTATAATATTCATTTTTAACCATATTACTATATTAGCATAATCATTCATTCAACTGCTTGTCGTACGACAATTCTTTTGCAATAAATATTCAGTGGCAATAAATAATAAGATAAACACATCATGTTATAATGTTTAAGAAAAGAATTATTATTATATTCCCTAATCTGTCACACAATTTTTATAAACAAATTTTTTTCATAATTCTAGGAAGGATAAAAATATTCAAAGTCATTGCTCATCCTGTATATACAGGGTGCCCTGTAACTAGCAATCGAGTAAGATCTAATTATACGTGAAAAAAATAAGTAGAAAAGAAAGAATAAAATTTTTCATTAAAGTTTTCATTTTCGAGGAAATCGAGTTTGGAAATTTATCAAGTACATATGTAGGCAATTTCTAACATATTCGAAACCTATATTCTCGATTTCTCAAAATCTTGCCCCACATTTCTTGTTTATTTTTGCGCGTGGAATAAATATCCTCGTGTCGATTATTCGAGCACGTGCAGTGATTGAATCAACTAAATTCAGAGTATGCTTGATTGAAACTCGATTTCCTTGAGAATGAAAATGTTCGATTCGTTTCTTGACGCGGGATCACCTCTCACTCGGTTACAGGACACCCTGTATAACATATCTCCGCTGAAAATCGTGAGACAAAAGGTACATGCAGTGTCCCCACGAATTTCAAATTCAACCCTCGAAAATCACGAGAAAGAAGGGGGGCTCAAAGTTTCGGTCTTATTGTGATTCAGTAATCATATCCGTAAAGATGCATTGCTTCCGGTTAAATCCTCCGCTACGAGTTTGGAAGTTTTGTTCCCTCGGGTGGATCGAGGATGGCTTGTGAGTATGTCCTTGGGACTTCGTGAGTATACTCCTGAGGAGACGAAGCCTGTAAAGGAGAAAAAGAGAGAGAGAGAGAAAGATTCTTGCCTGTTTCTATGACACGTTCTTGCTTCGGACTTGCAATGTTTGCAATCTCGGTAATTTGGGGAAACCTCATCGATTATACAACACGTGGCAAGGATGGCCATTCAGTCGATCGGTCGTTCAACTTTATTTGAATTTGAATTCAATTTAAATTCAGGTCAACTCAACTTTGAATCTGGCAAGATGTTAGAGAAATTAATATTGGCTGATGTTAATTAAATTATTAAATTATTAATTGATCTTACCTTAAATAAATAAATAAATTTAACTAAATCAATTGGCTAATTAGTTAAATTATTAACTAGTTAAATCGATTCAACTAATTGATTAAGTTAAATTTATTTATTTATTTATTTATTTATTTACAAAGGTACAAAATGCTAAATTTCCTTTAATCGCTACAAACTATTTTTTAAATGTGATAATTTAGAATAATCTCTATCTGGATAGTCCTTTCAGAAAACGTCAATATGATCAACATAAATATTCAATTAATTCGATATAAATACTTTAATGTCCTCATATCTAGGGATGTAAGAATTAGTGTAAAAAGAGAAAACTGAGTGAATCGATTTACTTTCAGAAGTTAATGAATCTCATTAAAGACAATCGATGCCAGTGTTAATAATTTTCTCGAGGAAAACAATTTCTGTTTTTAGGGAAATTAAATTATTAATGTGCTTGATTTTCTAAAATTACAATTTTAACTTAATTGCCAAAATTATTTAAAATTGGTATTAAAATTTAATAGTCAATTTAATTGACTCTCCGTTTAGGAGAGTCGCTTTTACGGAAGTAGAATCCTCAAGTTTTTCTCGATTTTCACAGTTCGAATCGTGAGATCTTGTGGGCGTATCGTGCGGAAACGCGTTCGGGGATGATTTTTCCCATAAAGAGCCACCGGTCTTTTGACCAACCAACTGTTGGCCGTGATTCTGCACCGGGCCGGAAAACCTTTTCTAACTGCGTAATCTTTCAAAAAATTCCGGAACAGCCGGTTGGGGAGGGGGTGAGAGCGTGTGACACGGAAATTCTACGAAAATTTCATTAGATTGTTCATTAGTCTAAAGATATAAATAATTCTCTCTATTTATATAACACGTGCATAGGAAAACTTTATACTCGAAAAATGTAGCCTATTTTTTATTAGGATTTCAAGGCACGTGATCATCAAATTCGTCGACAATTATTAATTAATCAATAATAGCGAATACTCGTGACTAATAAAAATTTTAACTTAAGTAAAAAAGAATTTAATTAAAATTAGAGTTATTTAAATTAAACGAAAGGAATTTGTAATAAAATTTAGAAATTATTTTAACTAAACATATAAATGTTTCTAATCGAAATATATTTCTTTATCGAAGTTCTCTATAAACTTATAAGTTTCAAGACCACTTCGACATTAAAATTACTAGAATTTGCCAGAATCGCGGAATTATCAAAATTATTAGCGAAATTAAAACAGCCAGTACTATTAGAATTACTAAAAGTATTAAAATTATTGTCATTATTAAAATTCTTCTGCTATGCAAAATGATCAGAATGATAATCATTTTTGTTAGAAATTTCATAGATGTGAAACAATATATTTTTAAAGATTTTTAAATAATTTTTCGTAAAACGTATAAATAAAAGCTCGCGTACTCCATTGTATCATAAAATATTTTTATTTCTTTATTTTATCTCAACGTAATTATTTCTTTTATTTTTATTTCTTTTTTTATTTTAACGACGGAAGTCGACAGTTCAAAAATTTCGAAATCTTCACAACGGAGCGTCAAATTTCCCGTTGAAGTTCATTTCAATCACAGCTGTAACAAGAAAAATGTTATTCTACGCTCGGACGACGCAACAGAAGGTGAAACGTTCACGAAATAATTTACAGAAATCGGAAATGATCGGCGGAGAGCGGGAGGGGGGGGGGGGAGAAGACACGTCCGAGGTATAAAGCTGTCGCAGCATGGTGATCGTCAGCTCGTTGTCATCGCCCGGATATGTTTCGTTTCGAGCTCGTAACATCTCCCGCTAGTTTTTCTCAATATCGAGCATACCCTACGCAAGGATCTACGCGTTTCCTTTCAAAGCAAAGACAGAGAGACGTGTCGAATTCCACATTTCACACCATTCCTTCAACTTTTTGAAGCCGTCGAGCTGTTAATAAGTTTTTGACGAGAGTCGCGCGAATACGCAAAGCGGTTAAAAATCCTCTCATAATTCTATCTAACTGCAAAACTGAAAAAAAATCCATGAGCAAACTGAAAGCGTGAAGCAAAAGAAAAACATCGTACAATTTATTCCCTTCTTACATAGTTATTCATAAATTCGCGCATAGCCATACGCGCTATGTTCGTGAAAAAAATCCTCGTCTCGTTTAGAAACACATTCTATTCTTTCGTTACTATGTTGCATGCGATCTTGTTACATCTACGAACGAATGAAGACGGATATAAAAATAATAAAACGCGATCTCATTAATAACGCGTACGGCGTGTATATATGTATGTATGCACGAATAAATTCTTTAGGGCACTGAGGTTTCTTAATTTGCAAGCTAATTGAAGGTTAGTAGAGAGAAAAAGAGAGAGGGATTTTTTTTCTTGGCTGGAAACACGAGGTGTGAGGCACAAGCTCGCGCCACCGTATTAATCTCTTCTTCTCTTTAACAACGATGAAACGAGCACTCCAACCTCCAACTTCCGTTCGCATGTTTTACAAATATTACATGTTTGCTCCGTGACCCGAGCCGCGCCGATTGGATCACGCTGATTAACTATTTTGCTTGGCTCGTGCGGCGCAAAGTGAAACGCATTTGTTACGGTTCCGCGTTGAGAGCTTAATAGTGACGATATCGAATTATGTTCTTCGGCGACGAAATTAATCTCTGTCAAATGATCTCGCGATTAGATGCCAAGCAAAGAGGAAGTCAACTCGGATTTTCTCACTGCTTTTAGAAATTTTGAGCTAGAGTGTAATTTCTGTCATCAGTATTGATTAACAATATTCGAAGCACGTTTCCGTCTATAATAATGATTGTTTGTATAGTGTTAATGATTGATTATAATAGTTGGTAGTGATTATGTATGTGATTATACATATAATATAATATATTTCACTAACTTTATAAAACTCAACCATTACACTCTTCCTCACTGATACAATAATTACGCAACATTTATAATAACTATATACTACAATATTACAAATGTTATAAAATATTATTCTATTAACTCTATATTGAATATAGTATACGCAACTATATAGTATTCACAGCCTCAAACATTCTCAAACTCACACATTCAATATTCAAAACGTCTCGCGATATTTATTCAAATACCTAGTCACTGGAAAAAGGAAATAGATACAAATCCTTAATTGACCGCTGAAGTCTCTTGCTTCTTTTGGACACTTTCGAGATACGGTATACTCGAGCCGAAGAGAGACGGCTCGATGCATGTCTGGTGGGTGGTTGAAAGAAACGAGGGGAACGCAGACAGGTGAACGAGCACGCATAATTATCGCGTCATGCTCGACGATAATATCCTAGTTGTACAGCACAGCTGCCCAACGAAACAGAAAGCACCGAGAACGAACCGGGTCTCGAGCTGTGGTACTCGCGTGCGATCGCAATTACGCACGTGCAATTACGCGCCGAGCGATTACGTCGCGCGCGTTTACCTTTCGTGATCGTGTTCGCCTGACCTCCTCTTCCCCGACCGTCATTGCCGGTCGTGATGTTTAATTATCATTAGCCGCGAACGATACACGCGACCTTGCTTTCGACGTTCAGTTGTTGTAGAACCGACTGTTGTTGCGCAGGGTTCGGGAATTTCATTTGGAATGAAGACGAAAAACAATGAATTTTTATTTGAAGACTAGAGTTAGAAAGCTTTATCTTGGAATTACGAATCAAGCACTGTCTGTTTACGTGAATTTGTTGGGAACTGAAATTCTTCATAGAGCATTTTTTATATGAAAAAAATATTTCCAGTATTAGTTGTACGATGAAGAAATTAATTTCCTAGTACTATGTGATTTTTGTTTGAAATACTTTTTCGTATAAAAAATGAATGTCGAGTAATTTCAGGTGATACAGTCAAGTGACATCCTGTATAATTAATTTTCTCCTATACTAGTGATTTGCCATATAATCATACGAGTCTAAGTTTAAAAGAATGAATTCAGCTAGCAAGAATTCATTTAATTTACTATAATATTATTTAGAGTTTATTTAAAATTTGGTCCAAATAAATGGAGTAAGTCTAATTATTTTGTAATTTTCGGTGTAACTTCACAATAAAAAGACTAATAAAAATATAGTTATTATTGTGTAATACTCTTCTAATTATTTCAATTATAACTTCCCTATTTTTCGGTAATTTTAGTATTATAAAAAAAGTGATAAATCATGTTATCAGATTGATAGTAGATATACAAAGTCGCAAGTTATATTGGATCGTAAAAGCGGAACCGAGTGGTAGATCTTGATCAGTTAGGGCGATATTTACGAGTGTTTCTTGCTTTTTTCCGCCTATCGTTCGAGGACGTTAGGGCGAGGTTATGGTTGGTGGAGTTTGGCAAGACATGCGAAGTTTTTAGAGCATAGGTCAAGGGTTTTGATGGCCGAACTGTACCTGAGCTACCATTTTCTCACTCTGGACAGAATATAATATTTTTATAATACACATTTAGTTATATGTAGTTTTATAATACCTTGATAATAAAACATTTCGCGCGACAATGAAATAAAATTACAATTCAAATGATATACGTTGTCTTTCAACATATATCATTTAGTGTTGGTAATGGAACGTTCCAGAAATGTAAAAACTATTCCACATAACGTATATTTATATATAATTCATAGAAAATCCTGCAACCAATTTCATACAATTGAATTTAATATTATTAGTGGAATTTTACGAGTCACAAGTTATGTATCATCAGTAGGTACTGCAATAAATATCCTTGAATTAGCTTTGAAATAATATTATAAATTTTCTGATTATTTTGTTTGGTAAAGGATTGTGAGATGACAAAAAACAAATTGATAACTTACGCTTTACAACTTGTCTCGATTTGCTAATATATAATTATATAATAATAATAATAATATAACATATATAATATATTATTAACTGGTGAATTGTTATTGCAAGAAGACTGAGATATTAAGACTCTCCTCACAGAAATAGAACTATGCCATTAAAAAAAAAAAAAAACAAAATTCTGTCCCATCTTTATCTGTCCGGGGCGAAGTAAAAAAAAGTAAAAAAATTCTCAACACCGAAACACCTTTCGATCTGCTTGTGAAGCCGGCATAGGCAATAGGTTAAGAGGATGGGAGAGCAACTGGATCGCGTGACATTTTTCTAAAAGCAAAAACGACTTGTCCTCGTGATGAAGAGGGTCCCCCTGCTTCAGTTTCGCGGCGGCTACGAAGGACGTGCCTTTCATAAGTTTCCATTATTTGCGCAGAAGGCAGATGTTCCTTCTGGCCGGCGAACGTAGGGAGAAAAAAAAGAAACCTGTCCCATCGAGACAGAAACGGCTCGTTTCTCTATAAAAACCGTGTGTTCGCGTTCGTTGTGTGAACGTTTGCCTTTAAAAAGTTATTTAAAAAAGGCTAGCTAATGCAACACGGACGAATGCAAATTGAACTGTATACGATTGGTTTAGAAACGTACAAAGTTGTTTGATTAGCTGCAGTAATTTTTTTACGAATGTATTGCACGCGTTGTATCGAGGAGATACCATAATTGGAACAAATTTAAGATACAAGATATTTAACGCAAGTGCAGTCACGTACAAAAGTACCAATATTAAAAATGGTAGTTAATTTCTGAATATAGCAAGCGCAATTTTTATGTACATCATGTTGATTTAAATGGATTTTGAAAGAAATTCGTAGTTGAAGATGAAAGGTTGATAGTGAATTTCTAAATGGCATGTGTCTTTTCTACATACGTGCATGTGGTTGATAAAAGAATTTGAACGATTGAAAGAATGTGACATTTAAAAGAATTTTGGATGATCGTAATTTTAGACTATACTTTCGGACATAAAATACGATTTCATGTAAATTTAACTTTAATCGATCCAACTTTTCTACGTCCATTCTCTGCCTAACCACGAAAGTGTTACCTCCTGAATAACCAATTGACAAATCCATCCGTGTCTCCTCTTTTCGCTTCAGAATTTCTTTGGGACGCTTCGCGACATTTGCTCCGCCGCCAGCAACATTCTCGTGACATTCCTGCCGCTCCGATTTTTCTTCGGAACGCGATCACGACACACGTTGAATTTTCCCCCGTGAATAAAAACACGAGATACAGTAACACGACGTCGAACAGGTTGCTATTCCCACTGATTTACGGCTTCGCCACTGGTGTATAATCATTGTGTGTTGGTTATAGTCGCTGTCAATGAGGTGCTCACCTTAACTCGCCGTTCGATTTTATCGCCGCAGCGTAGAACGTAACCGATCCCCTTCCTCTCCTTTCCAAGGAGCAATTACTGGCTCGCGCGGCGCTAGTGTCGCTTTACAGGAATTCGAAACGTCGACGCGATTTGCGAGCTTGCTCCGCGCGATAAATTCGACGAGCAACGGCTGCTTCTGTCTGCGAAGATTGTTTAAGAAGCTACGACTATCGTGAATTTACAGCGCCGATCGCGTCTGTTTATTCAACGTATTTCATCAGAATTGTAGATCGATATTTGGAGCCACGAAGGATTCGAGAAATGATCCATTTGTAAGATACTGTTTTACCGGAATGTATGTAATATAATTGACGAAAGAGAAGGGATATTAATACTCGTGTCAATTTGACACTCATAAATTATCATCGATGTCGAAAAAGCAGTGCATCACTGAGAGCGTGTTACCTTCAACCGGAAGTGTAGCAACGGACACGTAGCTTGTCCTTGAAGACCTGGTTAGCTTCGCTAATGTCATGATAATTCGAGTTGTATAATAAATCGCAATTAGAAAGTGGCAGTGAGGGAGGTCGCGTTTAATTTTCAATGGTAAGCATCCAGTTGAAACTAGAGTGGACACGCAACCGCGTGCGCAATAAATTGTAATTAGAGAACGGCATTGAGAGCTATAGTTTTCAAGGTTGAATGATTACGCTGGATGATGGTAGAAAAACGAAATGGAGAAACTAATACCTCATCTCGTTAATGTGATTATTGATATAAATCATAATTCGATAGTGATTACCTCGAAGGCAAAGCTTGTTAACAATTAGCGTTCAACTAAATGAAGACGTCGACGAAGAAATTAATTTCGTAATTGCTACGAGATTGACAGTATAAGATAATTTCGTAATTGATACGTTTTTGATATGCATTATTAAATTTCTTCTATTAAATATCACAATATGTATTCTGCTTGTTGTACATGTATCCTCCTATATCTATATTAATGTGTATACTATAAATTTCTATATTTTTAATTTCTCAAAGAAGCATAAAAATATTCGTTCAGTTCATCGATTAGTCATGTCGAAAGGGAACTATATTCAAGAGCACGACGTCTGTTTCTGACAGTTTTGAATGCAAAAAATCGACATAGTCAACCGTAATTACTCGCGATTCTATTTCCGTGTTCCTTCTTCCTATCTTTATGGTTCCTTCCCGTAGGATTTCGTGTGGGTGGTGAGCGCGCAAGATTTACGACGTATAACAATCCGCCGTGCTCTTTCAAGGCGCAGCAATTCCTTCGATACCGAAAACGCTCGAATAAATCCTAAATCTGGCGTGATTCAGGTTGCCCTTGACTCCAGAGATGCAGGACAAAATAAAATTGCCATCGGTAAAAACTTTCTCCGGCTGAGGCTCTTAATTTTAATTAGGGAACGAGATTTAGGACGAGCAACGTTCTAAAATTTATCGTAAAAAATTAGATTCACAGTCTTCATATGTGAATGCTGATATTACGAAATTATTCGATTCCGGTTTATTGCAATTATGTAGATTACAAGTACTTACATTAGAGTATGTAAAGACAATTTTGAAGACGATTTGATCACGTGTTTGTTTAATTGTTTTTGAGCTGTTAGTCGAGTTCTTGAATATTTATATTCATAAACAATTCATCTAATAATAAAGATGTAATATAATAATTACAATAATACAATAATTCATATAACAATAAAATATAACTCATGTTATAAGTCGTACAACAATAGTGATATTAATTAACTACAACCTTCGGATATTCAACAAATAAGGAAGATCAGTTTTTAAGAAGAATGTAGACATAAAATTGAAATGTAGAAGCAACATCTTAATCACACTTTCTTTAAACTTACGTCGTTAGACCACAGATGATCATAATAATTAAAAATGAGATATTCCGTTTCAAAATTCATAATTTTATTTAATTCTTGCAATATCGTCGACTAGACTATCATCGAGTGCTTTTCGTCACGCAAATTGTACATATAACAAAGCAACAATTACACATTATATTTGTTCTAATTCAATATTGTATCATCCACTTGAGAATATTATAAAATTTACAAAATTACGAAAAAGGACATATAAAAAATAAATAATATATAAAAAAATATACAAAGAGAAAGTAACAAAAAAAAAATAAAAACAAGAACAGTTCAAAGAATCGGCGAGCAAGTTATCTTCGGAACTTTATCAGCCAGAAGTTCGTAGATCCGCATAGAATCGAAATGATCACGGACAGTATGCGAAATTAAATACAATGCGTCAATATGAATCGCATCCTTGGATGCGTGTCTCCAAGTTGGCTAAATATAATTCGTCCTTGAGCATTCCTCTCGGGCCCCTCGTGGGTGGAAAAAATGATCTCGCGACGGTCTCTCTCATCGTCGACGGCGAAGAGGACGAGATCGGAAGGATCATCACGACCGAGTCAACCCCTTCGAATTGAAAATTAGGATTCATTGGTTCGTGGAAGGGGTCGGAGGGCCACTCGAAAAATCAAGATGTCAACGGTGGTCGCGCGGAATTCGGAATCAGTCAGTGCCGGATGCGCGGCCATTTTCGTTGCGCCAACCTGCTGCTTTCGCGAGACGATTTCGTAGACGCATGGAGCATGATACTATTTGTAATTGTTCGTTAGCCAAACGATAAGAGATTACTGCCGTTCAATTTTTTTTTCTTCTTTTTTCTTTCTTTCTTGGAATATTTTTTTTTTTTGACTGTGTTAAGAATTACCAAAGTGGTGAAAAATGATTATTATATTTTTAATTTTTGTTATGTTGATATTTTATAGACGTAAAACAGCGTATTCTTAATGATTTAAATAATTTTTCGCAAAATATATAAATAAAAACTTGTACTCTCCACATGTATTATGAAATTTCTCTATTTTTTTTGATTTCAATGTTTCTGATGGAAATTTTATGCTTTAATCGTCAGTTCTAGTGTTAAGCGATGAATAGTAACTATAGATTTTTTTTTCGTACAGTAGATGTTAGGTGAAAATTATTTTGTATATATTCTACATATATTTTTTTAAATATTCTACGTATTATATATGTTTTTTTTTTTAAATATATAAAAATTCGAAGTCTATAAAATCTAATAATGAGGATTGTGGATATTGGTTTATTTAAAATTATCGTTTAATACTATTAAATGTTCAATGCTATTCAAAGTACTTTTTCGCTTTTTAGTTAATTTCAAAGCTATGTTGTTTCTGTTCGGATATGTATTACATTAATATCTTTTTCTTTTAAGCTTTTCTTTCTGCTACAACTAGTGACTCTCCACTTGTTTCTTTTTCGTGCAATTATTTCCTTACATTAAATATTAAATGCTGGTTTGCTGAGGAGGATTGTATTTCAATATTATAATAATCAGTGTTCTTGGTTGAACATTTCTTCTTTGACTTTGTAATCTTATTGAGTATGAAAATTTATCACAAAAGATAGCAGAAGGAACATGTTGAACAGTAATAAAAAAAATTGATTTCATTTAGTCACGAATAAAATAAAGTCGATGATATTTTTTTATAAATACTTTTCAACATGTTTCTTATATTTTTTCGACTGATTCTTACGAATGTTCTTCATTATGAATATTAATCTTATGAATATTAATTACGAGCACAAGCCTATCTATCGCAAGGGAAGTTTTCTATCATTTTCTTCGACTTGTTCGAAAGTAATTTTGTCACTAGCACATACATTACACATACATTACCTCTTTGAGAACATTTTCAACGTTGTACTTTCCTACTCACAATTAGCAGATAAGATCGACGATTATGCAAACAATAATTAAAACCGCTGTTCGACGAGGAAAATGCAAAAGGAGAATTAGAAAATAACCACGATCATGATCATAACCGCGAGGAAATTACACGAGATTAAAGTTACGAGCTCGAGCAGGCACGTGATATAGTTAATCACGTTTTAGGTTAATGTTTCGATACAGGAAGGTGGTGATTGAAATGCACAGGACGTTCTTACCATTCGATGGGTACAAACGTCCATCTTCGTTCTCGATTGCCGAAACGACCGCCGCTAATTAATTATTCCTCGCGTACACGAGGACTCGCCTCTCTCCACGTTTAGGCTCGGTTGAACACTTCGTAACGTGTCCTAAACGCGGCGAAACTATCCGAAACTCTTAATTTTTTTTCGAAACAGTTATATATAAAATACAATTAAAATAAAAATATAGAATGTATAAAATATAAAATTAATCGAAGCAAAAATTATGTTCGAGTTAAAGTTATGAATTTTCAAATTTTGATAGTGATGTAGCAATATTATTTATTACTAATATAATAACATTATTTATAATTATATAAATAATTGTTTTCATGAAATTTTTACAAAGCTCGATAAATATTATTTTTACGAGAGATTATTAAAAGTCATTCTCCTTTGAATTTTAAAAAAGAAGTGCAATAATTATTCTTACGAAATTTTAAAAAGATCCGAGGCCAATTAAATCTTATGAATCGAATTACGAGAGATGGAACAATCGAAGAAGGGGATTTTTGTAATGAATCAGCAGAATTAATACACTGTTTCTCTTTTTTTGGCCATTTTTTTGAAAGAAAACATCAAGTCATCGTGAAGAATTGTTTCCTCTTATAATAGTAACAGAGAATGTGAGATTTCGTACAAGTAGTTCCTCAGGATACGAATACCTACCTCGCGTGATTCAAGTTAGTAATTTACATTTGCGCGAAAAATCTTATTAATGATACCATATATATTGCCCTCATTACCATCGATAGAGTACCGAGCTATTCTTT